TTCATAAGGCCCCCCCAAATGTAGGGTACACCCCCCCCCCCCCCCCACCCCAATTATCTTGTGGCCTCACCATATGGCAACACAAGCCTATCCCTCATTTTCGTGATTGTCAAATGGCTCACCTCAAGGTATGTCAGAACAATTCACATTTCCTGCTATGGGTTCTAAGTCTAACATACCTGAACAGCCAACAACTACAGTAATCCTCGTGTTCCTTTGTTCACTCAAGCTCACCCCAACCATATAAACCCTCTCAATCAGTCTCCTTAATAGATAGTGATGTATGGGGAGTTGGGGACCAGCAACATTCAAGGTACCAAATGGTTTGTTACCTTCATTGATGGCCATACAGGAGCCACCTAGGTATTCCTTATGAACGAAAAATAGAAAGTAGGAAGAATATTTGAAAATTTCCACAGCATGGTGCAAGTGCAAACACAATTCAAAACCAATATTAAGGTACTCAAAACTAATAATGGCTGCGAATTATCACTTAACATTGAATTCAACTAGGCTCCAAAAAATGAAGTCTCTTAAGGTAATATTGTCCTTAACTTGTTAAATGAGTACAACTGACATTGATAACTATTGCCTTAAGAAAAGAGATGAGAACATGCACTCAACAACCAATTAAAAATTAGTGTACTATGGAGTATTCAAGTATTACAAACTAGTTCTTGTCCATCATTGAAAAACTTATAAAAGTAATTCTCTCGTCTTTCTTTGATATCTTGACATGTAACCAAAACTTTCCCTAATTCATCCTCAATAGTCAATACATCTTATTAGATCTAAATATCTCTTTTTCCTTACTCTATTTTTGGCAAGCTTACATATCCTACATTCTCAACTTTTTTGGTTTCATGATCTTTTTAAAACTCTTCAAAAGCTTTAAATTGTGCTTCACTCACAACTTTTTTGGTCTTAATTTTTAGCATTATTGCATCCATGAAAGGCTTTAAAGCACTCTCTTTTGTTTCTTACCTTGTCTAATTGTCTTGACCACTTTCATTCCAAGATTTTTTAACTTTAGGCTCAACCTTGTTATTCACTTAATTGCTTTAGCAATTGTCCTAATCTAATTAGATATCTCATCTAAAATGAGGTTAGCATTGCCTAGTTATTCTCAATTACTTTTCTCGAATAATATCTTAGTAAAAGTCAAATATCATTGTCCCTTAAGTTGCTACCACTTGATTCTTTGATTAGTAACTTGATAGGATTTTTGTTTACACCTTTTGAAACAAACATCAAGAATCAATACCCTATGTTGCATAATAAGTATCTACGGGAATCACCTCGCAATTCTTATTTCTTACAAATTCTTTTAACAATTCTTAACAAAAAGAAATCAATTTGTGACTTGAACTTCCATTCTTAAAAGTGACCTGCACATGACTTTTAATGAATTTTCTCTTCCTAAAATGCCCTCATCTTTTTCCAATTGCTGCACCCACCTCTCCCTCTCCTTCACATCTCTCAACTTCCTCTCCACCCTCCACCTCCCTAACTGCATCATCGCCTCCACACTCCCACTTCTACTCCCATTCGCTTCCTTCTTGCCAACCATTTTGTGCAGGTCTCCTCACTGATGAGGGAAGTGCTCATCATTGTCTGGACACTGCTCATCTAGAAGAGGAAGGAGGCGACGCCATTGCCGGTGAACGTGAGGTTGGAGAGGTGGGAGGCGGTGTGGTGGACCTTGGCGAGGCTGACAGCAATGGCCATGCACACCAGCTGCCCGAGGTTTTTCCATACCGCAATAGCACACGTCTGGGTACAACGTCTTGTTGTAGCATGTCCAGATGAAGTAGTTGTCACCCACGGGAGTGGCGGTCTTGTCTTCGCCGCAGAGAATGTTGCTGCGAAGAGGAAGAGGGAGAGGACGAAGCACGTGGGTGGTGATGGTGCAATTAAGGAGGTGGAAGGTGAGGCGGGTGGAGAGGAAGTTGAGGGAGGCTAAGGAGATGGAGAGGTGAGTGTAGCAATTGGAGAAGATGAGGGCATTTTAGGTAAAAAAAAAATATTAAAAGTCATGTGCAAGTCACATGACACGCATCTTTGAGATCAGGATAGGTCGGTGTAACATTTGTTTAACTTTTAAGGAGTCTTACGATAGGCCTAAATTATGAAGAGGTATTGGACGCAATCTTGAAAAAAGTATAGGGAGTGCGAGCGTAATTTACTCTTATTTAAGTGACATTGAATTCCAAACCTATTCAAATATAACACCACCTAATTTACATCAATAATTAACAAAATTTTAAATAGATACAAACATAATATTTTAATTGACCAGAGTTAACAAGTTGGTTAAAATTAACAAATGTCGAATATTTTACAACCACTTTTTTTTTTTACCATATAAAGTGAGGTTCTTTTGGAATTTATTTTACTATTAGTAATTTAAAAACTTCAATTAGCTCAACAGCATTACTATTGTTAGCATTTCTATAGTTGATTTCTTTTTTACTGTTAACACGTTATGCATTTCAGCATGTCTTTTTTGTGTAAGGTATTATAACTAAAAAAACATTTTTCATTGTTTTAAGTAATATGAAAGATTGACATAAATCACAATGGCTAGTATATGACAATGAAAAGAGGAGGATAAAAAGTTGGCACAAAATTAAAATTAGCCATTGGAAAATAATTTTTCATCCTTAAGTTGAATGCTTTAAAAAATATGCAAATTAATTTAAATTCTAAGACCATATGCTATCAGATGTGAACTACCAAAGTAAATTGCTTTGGAAGGATCAGTGAAAACTAAAAAGTCTAAATACTAATGGAAATAACCAAATAAAGAGAAGTAAAAAAAATATATATTGATTTATGGGAATATGTAATACTAATTGGTATGCTCTAGGAGGACATACTTTAACTTTTTCTTTTAAAAGGAAAGAAAGAGATTTTTATTAAATGACACCGAGACATTGAACAAGTGGTACTAGTTTAGGTATTGCAAGCAAGAGTTTTAAAAAAAAAACTCCTAACCAAAATATGCAACCATAATTCAGCAAATAGGAGCTACATGAAATTATATTAGTCTTTACTTAAGAGGTTGTGGATGTTTAATCAATTTCCCTAAATATTTTATTAGCTACTTCCAACTGGGTGGAGTATAATATTGGAGCAAGTTTGGATTTTAGTGCTATATAAACAAACCTCAAGGTAGTGCACTATAGTTTTAAGTATAAGTTGCCTCATATTATACTTTATGTGGCCATAAATATATGTCTAACTAAACATTACTTTCAAATACTTTCACTATAACATTTTCTTAAAGCAAAATGAATTAATTCAAATATGTACTAAATATTTGTCCATTAAACAAAAAAAGCTTATGGATATAAGCCTATAAGTAATTGATTTAAAGAACTCATGATACAGGGTAGAATGACTAGTTTCAGGTATAGTAGTTTTTCTTCCAAATCCAAGAGTCTAGCAACTTATCCACACTTGTTGGAATATTCAGTGAAATAATAAATAGCTTCTAACATCCACTAGTTGTAAATAGCGAGAAACAAAAATCATGCAAGTGACAAATTCAGGAAAACAAGTAGATTCACCTACTATTAAGAAATATAAAAACGTGAAAGAAAATCTATTGAAAACCCAAATATATTCAATAATGTAAATGAACCAATGCACAGCCTGAATCAAGCACTGTTAACTCTTAACTATAAAATTTGGTTTTAAACCAAGTTCCATAACATTTTTCACTTATTGACGAATGAATAATTTAATTTCATAACAGAAATTTAATATGAAAACCATAAAAATGAAAATGCAGGTTTCCATTAATGTCAGCATTGCAGTTATTCTCTGACTATCAAGATTATACTTACCCTTATGCCAGATGCATAATCTTCAGCAGCCCGAAGAAGTTCTACAAGCTGCACAGCAGCATCAAGTGCATCTGGAGCCCAGGATGGAGGTGCTTCTAGAAGTCCAAGAAGAAGTCTTTGTGTAGCACTTGGAGTAGCAATTGCATAATATCTGCAAAGGTTAGGTGTATATGTATTTTCTCAGAAGATGAACTCTATGAACAACTAAAAAACAAGAAAGGTATGAAGTTCAAAATAACCTATGAAATAAACGAGCATATGGTTCCAGAGCTGGTAATCCAGCAACAAGATGCTCATCCAGAGCTGTTGTTGGAGGAGGAAGCAAAAGCGCAGGGACAGCAGCTGCTGTTAAAGTAGCAGTCTCATTGCGTGCAACTTCATCATCGCAAACACTTAATATAACTCCAGCACCATTGGCAACAGCCCATCTTGGAGTTGAAGGAACAAGTTGAGGATGCTTCCCAGAACCACGGGAAGAAGCTAAAATAAAGTAGTAATAACAAAAAAAAAAGTCATCTCCTTTACTCCTTATCATATTAAGAACATAAACATCGATGTCAATATGATAGTAAAAAATGATAATCTTGTCTAATAAAATTCAATGATGAATTTATATATATATAGCTGTTCAATGAAAAAGAACAAAAGTAATTCCTACCAGTGCATTGACGATGTTCAAACACACCAGAAGACTTTTGTTAATAAAGACAATTAAGTACAATCAATAAGTGCGTAAAAAAGAAAGAAAAAGTCCAAAAAAATATACAAAGATCACAGAAACAAAAATAAGAACATATTAGTTAACTTTGATAATATAATAATTAAGCTTCACGGTTCCAACATTTTATTCTTTTGTTATATTGGTTAAAACTTATAAGCATGCAATAGCTTTTTAGTATTTGTGAAATTTTTTTAACTCAAAGCATTCGAGTTCAAGTAGGCCATTCTCCGATTTCAACATTTAAACTGAATGGCTGCATGCAAAAAACCACCAACAATATGGATATAAATTGATTTTAGCCTTTTCAAATGAAAGTTCCCAAAGAGGTTTCTGCTGATCACTGATGCTGTTACTACAAATTTCTATTTAGGAATTTGTACATTTTCCTATCTTAACTGCCGAGTGCTTTATTCTATATCTTTCCTGCTCTCTCCCTTCTCCCTCATATTTTGGATGCCTCACAAAGAGTAAGTTTCTTTCAAAAACATGAGTTGCATGGCAAGATTGTCATACTCCGTTTAATTTAGAAAGCCACAAACAAAAACACATAATAATCAATAAGACTACAAAATAAAATTCATCTTTTAAGCCTGAAAATGAAAAAAAAAAATGCTTACCTCATTTGAAGATAGAATAAGATTAACTATCCAAAATTTATAAGTAATTTAATTAGATTAACTAACTAAACTTATTTGGCCAATGATTTTTTCATATCATATTTGGATTAACTTATAAATGGTAGGTTAAGGTAGTGATGATGGAGAGGAATGAGAAATAAGACATGGAACATAAAGATTGAAGGCATAAGAAAATTCCAAATTCTGTGAACATAGTTAACTAACATATAGTGAAAACATAGACTCTGGCTCATGTGAACAAAAACCTTTGGATAAAAGTAGTTGAACTAGATTTTTAAGTGCTACAAAAAACTTTGAAAATGAAGAAACAACTTACCCAAACTCGCCACCTTCTGAAGAAATGTCTCAAATTTTTTGATATAATTGTTCAGAAGATGTTGTGGATAAACATCATTTAAAAAAAAAATAAAAAAAAAGAATAGCATTCTGTATCAAGTTATTAAAATTTAAAGTACCAGTTGATGGGGGCTTGAGTTCTCCCGCAGCATATTTACCCATAACACCACTACACCTGTTAACACAAAGCAAAAGCATTGACTTAAGCAAAAATATACTCAGCGCTCATAGCATAACAAGATAATTCGATACATTATACTATGATAAATGGGAGACAAAGTGAGAGAGACTACAACCATGCTAGTTGTTACAATTTACACTACCGAGACAAAAATACAAAACTATGTACCCCTGAACTTAGTTATTTTATATTCCAACGAGCTTGTAGCTCAATTGGCACCTAATTGATCCTTTACGAGTTGTATGTAGTAATAATTTAATGATGAGAGACATAATGGAATCTGTGAAGTTTTGAGAGAGAGAGAAAAGTAAAATGAATTGTGTTATGTTATTATTTTCTATCACTCTCTAGAAATGATAGAGAGTAAATTATATAGACATACAAAGCTTACAGAGGAAGCCACACTCATAACTAACATGCTAACGTGGCAAAGCCACTCAACTTACAACAGAATACAAAACATACAAATAAAGCAATGCTATCTAATACTCTATTAGAATCCATGTATTTAAACTGCACATTTGAATTGAATTACAACCCTCGTCCTTGTATATACAAGGCTCTTTCACCTTTCAAGAAAATTGGCTGTTTTAGTCAATGACATTAAATTTATCAATAATTTGAACTATGTTTCCAAAACTACCCTTAACATTCTTAAAATTAACCTTCTCTTTTTGTGTACTTAATTGTTTGTCACCAATTAATTAATGTTTGGAAGGAGAATAATGTCAAAGTAGATGAGAAAGGTATCTTTTGTGTCCATTAATATTCTCCAATCCTATTAAGAGAGAAATTTTTTATCTCATTAATTTCAAACATTTTTTTTTTGTCTAGAAAGTTGTTAATTAAATAAGGGTACTTTAGAAAAGAACAATCAATGCAAATGACAATCAGAAGAGGATCTTATAAAAAAAGAAAAACAACAAAAGTTAAAAAGGCTTTGTATATATAGGGTGGAGGTATTATATAAACTAAAGCAGTATTATAAAACCCAGACCAGTTATCAACTTGGATGAGGTAGTGGGTTATTCCACTGGTTCAATTGGAGAGTCATCGGATGAATTATGGGTGGATGTGTGTTGATAATTGTAAAATATGTGTATAACTGTATGTGTATTTGTGTATATCTTTTAATTAATTTAGATAATTACCAAGCATATCTTATGCTTTCAAGTCATGTTCTTATAAAAAAAATGTATTAAAAATTAGTGTTGTTTATTTTAATAGAATTCTTTAAGTTTTAGGTATTTTGATGATTTTTAGTTTTTTAGACACAAAAAGAAAAAGAAGGAAGAGGCTGGTCAAAAAGATCCAAACGAGGGACTAAAGCTATCAAGATGAGTCATCTTGGTCAATTGAGCATGGCAATGCCGAGACTAATCAAGAAACATCAGGACCCCTAGCTTACGCGAGGAATCATGACTGTTCGAAGCAACCCTTTGCTTGCTAAAAGGGTGTCACCTTGGTCACTTGAGCAAGCAAAAGTTGAAACTCCTCTAGAAGTAATCACTTATGCTTGCTTGTGTGGACCACCTTGCCCACTTTAAGCGAGTTGATGCCACAAGTGCATATGAATTTTGTCAACAAGCTCACTTAAGTGACTCAAATGTGAAAAAAACCCCATTAGAATTATTATAAAAAGGGACTTTGGCGCAAAAACATTCATTTGTTGTATCTTTTAGAGAGATTTGAGAGAATAAAGTGAGGAGCATCAATCATCACAAAGTTCTTGAAAGTTCCCTTTGTTTCTTTGTGGATTACATTAGCCATGAGTAGCTAGTTCACCCATTGTTAAGGTTTGATGTAGCTGACTACGAATCCATGTAACTCTTCCTATTTTCATTCAATTAACTGTTGTTCTTCTTCTCTTAATGCATGTTTTGACTTAATCACCCTTTGCATGATCCCATAAAAGTAACCGAGGTTGGAAAACTCTTATAAAACTATGATATGGAGAATAACACTAATAATGCCTATCACTAGGAATAGGATAAAAATTATTAGACAATGTTTTTAAACCTTTGATCTTAATGTGGGATGCTTAATTAACTTCACCAAGGAATTGAGATTTTAATTAAGAAACTTAGAATTTCTCACCTAAGGAATTAGGGGGTTAGTACTTGTGATGGCTGTCGAATTAACCTAATAATAACTGAAATTGGATAATAATTGGGAAAGATACATGTGAGGAGAGTCAAAGAAATCAATCTTTGGCTTCTTTTATTATAAATCTATCAATTATTTTTAACCTGCTTTCTGATATTAAGAACCCTAAAAATACATTTTTTACTTTTACACGTTTTTCAAACATATTTTATAAACTTCCCTAATTAGTGTTTAATTAGATTATTAAAAGTCTATGTAAATTTGATACTAGAACTTTTGTCCATTTTACTACTTGCAACAATTGATACACTTGCCAAAAGTCTAACAAGTTACTTGTGCCCTATAATTAATTAATTTTAATTTGGTGCTATTTTAAGTTTTACGGTTTAGGGTTTAAATTTCTACATTTAATTTCTACAGGTTTTATTTTTCTTTATCAAATCTCACTTCATGTTTTTAGTTCCTTAATTGTTTAGGTGAGGTAGAACTTTGATTACAGATCTTCATTACGACCCAAAGATTGAGAAAAGTTAGGAGGACTCTCAAAGGAATAAAAACATCGACATCAACAAGTGAGACAAAATACCTCATACCCTTAATCAATGGTAGAACCTAGAAGGGGACAAGTAGTGGTGGAAGAGGAGAGGCAACCAAATCCACCAGCTACAAGGAGGGCAATGGCACATCATGGGCCTAGGGAGTTTGACAGTATCACTATGCCAACAACTACAACCACACACTTTGAAATCAAGCCAACTCTACTAAATATGATCAGGGAAAACCAATCCTTTGGGGCAAATGATGTGGGCCCCCATGTGCACCTTGATGAGTTTACTATGATATGCAATACCATGCAATATGAGAATGTGCCTAATGACACTATCTAATTGGCAATGTTCCCTTTCTCCTTAATCGAAAAGGCAAGTGATTGGTTACAATCACTCCCACCTAATAGCTTCACCACATGGAATGAACTAGTGGATAAACTTTGCCAAAGTACTTTCTCCTTGAGAATGTCAAGTAGGCCAAAATCGACATCATCACATTCTCTCAAGAGGTGATTGAATCATTGTCGAAAGCATGGGATAGGTACAGAGAGTTGCTCAAAAAGTGTCTAACCCATGGCCTTGATTAGTATGATTAAATGTGTACGTTTTGGGATGGACTACAATCAGAAGCAAAACTCATCATGGATGCCTCAATTGTAGGCAATATTAATGACAAGACACCGAATGAGGCCATGATCGTCATAAACAAAATATCTAGTACCCATAGCTGTTCACAAAGATTTAAGTTTGCACCATAGTAAGGAGTTTACGAATTGGGATCCAATGATGCCATTCTTGCTCAAAAAATGCTCCTATCCTAGCAGTAAGGCTTCCACAACAAATGCAAGCACAAGTACCTACTCCTGCGTCTGTTTACTATGTCAATGGTTGAGACATTTGGAAGGACACATCTCCAAGGCCAATGTGGGGTGGTAGTAGTAGTAGAAGAGTCGCAGCAGGAGGTCAACTACATGGGAAATCAAGGAAGGTACAACAGTAACCACGGTGAAAATTTCAACAGAGGAGGTTGGTAGCAAAACCTAGTCTTGGAAGATGTAACCAAAATTCTACAGGCACCTCTAGCACACCCCTTTCATCACCTAAACCTAATTTGTATGATTGTCGATCAAAGCTAGAGGAGAGCCAAGCCAAGCTACAAGAGACTTTCAACTAATTTATACAAACCTCCAATTCTAATCAAAAGAATGCGCAGACTAAAATTGGAGACTTGGAGGTAAAGATGGGGCAGTTCCTTGCCCAGATTGAAGAACAATTTTCTAGCAAGTTTGTTGCATGAACTAAATCTCAAAGGTAAATGTAATGCTAGTCTTGCAAGAAGCAAAAAGTATTATGGAGTTGAGGTTGGTGAGAAGAGTAAAATAGAGGTAGATAAGGGTGAAAAAAATAGAAAAATTAAGAAAAGTGAAAAAGAGAGTGAGAGAAAAGAAAAAAGAGGTAGATGAATCCTTTTACTTTTCACCCCACACATCTTGTTTCTCACATTTACACAATAGTCTTCACACCTACTCTTCTTCACAATTTCCATTCCACATTTTCACTCATTTGGTTTTGTTTCTACTTATTTGTTTATCACATTTACTAAATACTCTCTTTTACTAACATTCACTTCATTGTGTCTAATAATGGCATTATTCATGAACTAACATGTGTCAATACTCCCCAACAAAACGAGCTGTAGAAAGAAAAAATAGTCATCTACTAAAGGTTTCTAGGGCTTTACTCTTCCAAATGTTAGCTCTAAATACCTATTGGGGTTAAGTTATCTTAACTCCCACATCTCATGAACACCCACTTGAGTTTTACATAATAGCAATCCTATTGAGTCCTTGGTATCCTATGTTCCCTTTTTCCCCCTAACATCAAGTCTGCCTTATTGTGTTTTTGGTTGTGTTGCATTTGTTCATTCTCATGCTCTTCACCATGGTATGTTAGACCCCAGAACAATCAAATGTGTCTTTGTTAATTATCCCTCAAATAGAACAGCATACATGTGTTATCATCCACAAGGTCATCAAGTCTTTGCGCCATGGCTGTCACAATTTCATGAAATTGAGTCATTATTTGTCAATCCTTGACTTCAGGGAAAAGAAATTTAGAAGTTTAGGGTGTGTCATTACATTTTTTTTGTCTTTGCAAGATGTCCAAGGAACCCATGGTGAGGTCATATATGAAATAAAAGAAGCCCATTATGAAGAGGAAGAGAGAGATCAATTTGTTGGCAAGAATTATAGGACATAAATTTACTTTGATCTCTCAGCAAGAAAAGTTGTCTAACCCATAGGTAAGGACTCCTATAGGTAACATTGAGGTTATAAGTGT